GAGAGTCCCAGGTGTTAAATTAGTCAATTAAAGAATGTAAATCGAAAGAAAATCTCTATAGTAGTAGTTTACAGCGTGGCAATTACTAATAGCTTTAACCTATTTAGCCATTAACAAAAAAATATCTCTATGATCATACGGAAATTAATAAAACGCACTAAATACTAACCGATGGAAAGAAATTTCAGCTGTTTTTCTTATAAGTTGCGTTGCCGCACAAAGGAGCACTGCACTTCACCATCCTCTTTCACTTTTAAGACGTAAGAACAACAATTCGCAGAAAATAAACGCAAAAGAAAACACTTGCTATTTGTTTTCGACGCCATATGTCGCTTATTTGCAGCTTAACAAGATGGCGATTGCTTCATTACAATTTTTATCTATGTTTGTGTTCATGTTTCCACAGCAGGAAGAAAGAGATAACATTATTGGACTTTTAATCAGAGTAAAAGGTGTGAAGATATTAAATTATTCCTAACCATGTGTTTGTGAGTTAGTGTTAAGTCTGCTTCTCTTTATAAGTCTGTGTATTTTTGGATACAGGAATTGTAAAGTAGCTATTTTCATTCCCGTTTTTGCAATTCGAAACTTTCACAGGTGTGGAAATGAAAATTACGTTGTACGAAGTGTTTCATACGCGCTTAACATCATTTCTACATTTATAAAATACATTATATATGAACATACAATGGAATTATGATTATGAGTTATGTGATTATAAGAAGTCAATGTACCTTAATTGATTTAATTCCTAACTTTCTTTTAATTTATAGGTTATTTCCTGACATTTAGTTACCGGTTTACAATTAGTCCACTCTGAAGCCCTATTTACATTGGTCAATTGTTGCAAAAGTACAGTGAGTAAATACAGTAGTGTAAACGCTCAGACAGTGGCGCTGGCGAGTCAACTTGGTGTGCAAGCTGCTTTGCAACTTTACCGAAACAGGATCGCTTTCTATTTTTTGGTGCAAGTGTACTCCTCGTGTGCCCGCGGGGCACTTGGCTCGTCACTTGCCTTAGTGTAAACAGTCAAATTAGTACAGTAGCCTGCGACAGGCAACAAAATTGCACGTATTGCTCGTCCATGTCGAAAGAGAAAGCCACTTGTCCTGTACTTGTACCCGCAACTTGCCTCTATCCTCGACTAATGTAAATTGGGCTTTAGTCTCCATCAAGTCTGATCAGTACACTCAATTCACAATTCAAAAAGAATGAAATCTGATTTATGTTTATATTTTACACTATGTTTTTTTTTATTTAGTCGCGATCAAATCTGATCGGTACAATTCAAAAAGAATGAAATCTGATTTTTTAACGTGTAAAATTATAAACAAAAATGAGTCGAATATTGATTCGAATCAGGACTAAAGAAACTGATTTAACTTACTAAATAAGCTGTTTGTTTTTTTGCCAATGAATGTCTTGATAAATAACATACCTAGAAACTTTGATTAATAAAAGAAATTTGATTAAAATTAATAAATAATTAACGTTTTATTCAAATTTCTCATTCATTTAAATAATGTGAATTTGGTATAAAAATTCCTATTACTTATCATTGAATCAGACTGAACTACATATATTATTTTTTTCAAACTGAAAATTTGACCGATATATCGATATTTTTTTTCGATATATCGAGGCCGATATTGATATTGCTATAAATATCGATATATCGATATTTTTTTCCACTTTCGGCATCCCTAACGAAGGAAAACTGTATCGTGATGTGTGGGGTGGGGCTTTCAAAACTGCACAACCCTATGACATATGAGAGTTTGAGAGTGAGACCTGTGCACCTCCGTACTGCCACGCAGTGTCGCCATTAGCGATGGGCGTTGAATCAACGAACTAGTTGAATCAACCGTTGATCTCTTGTTAACGAATTAACTTTAACTGTCATTGAAATCAACTAGTTGAATTCGTTAACATCGTTTCGGAAATTTTGTCGTTGAATCAATTCGTTTAAAAACGCAGTCAACAATACGTTAAGTCAACGGAACATAAGCGTAACGAATTGAAAACCTTACGATGAAAAAAAACTTACGTTGAAAAAAAGTCACAGAGTTGAGTTGAAACGTTTGTTTAATTTAATGAAGGACATGTTTAAGTTCGCTTTCTTTATTTTTGTTTGACAGTTTGTGAATAGTTGCGCGCAAGGTTATAGAATATTTTGCGGCTTTGCGTAAATATTATCAGAACTTTACTTCATGTTTAGTGTTTTTTTTTTTGTGAATTTGTTAATTTTTAATTAATTATATTTGGAATTTTATTTTATTTTGTTAGTTTTGTTTACCAGAATTTTATTTTCTGGTTAGTGTTTTTTTATTTTAATTTATGATTATTTAAGTGTATATAGGACTGTGGGTACAAAATTCAAAATAATTGATCGTATTAACAGTGAGTTATGGTTTCATACCTAAAAAGCTGTTTGTAATGTATGCAAGGGGAAAATAACGAACAAATTGACTACTTTAACTTTAAAAAGTACTTGAAGCGGAAATATTTTCATCAGTGTTTTAGTACCAGTCTTTAAACACCAGCGTATGATGGTTGATTTTGATAAGAAAATTAGTTTGGAACAAAAGAAAAAAAAGAATTCAGATTTGTTAGATTTATGCATAGATAGCTTTTATCCGTTTTCCCTAGTAGAATAAAGGGCTTGCAATTTAACATACTAATGTATGTGTCACGTTAACTAGTTAACGAATTTAACTAGTTGACGAACATGAATGAACGTTAACGTTAAGTTGAAAAAAATCGATAATCGCCATACGTAAATCAATAATTACCGTGTTGCAAGTGTAAAAATACGGTGTTTCTAAACAAAATTTCGGTGAATCTGCTAAAAGAGTACCGTGTAGTTTTTCAAAGGAAAAACAACATTTAAAACCAAATCAAGTCTTAATTAAAGTAGCTTTATTTAATTACTAGGCAAAAAATTTAAATATGAAACATCGAACTCAACGAACTCACTTAAAACCTTAAATTATCTCTTTATTCCCCTAACAAACACCTTGAAATAACGATTATTCTAAGGTAAAAGCTTGAAATTGAAACAGTTCTTAGATTTAAATGTTTACTACGTATTTGTAACGCGTCGTAACTAGAATAAAAGACAACGCAGTACATTTTACGTCATTCATCCATCACAAGGACGAGAATAAATTGCGTGGAGAATTGGAGATAAACTTTTAGATATTGATGATTGCCCTCGAATCTCGGCAACCACAAGTAGTGCTGCCATTAAAAATATTAAATTAACTGACTGAGGGCCGAATACTGAAACGTTACTTAAATATTTAAAGTAACGTAACGTAACGTCGTAAACACTAAATTCGTCAAGTTAAGTTGTACCTAAACGCTACTCAGTGAAAATTTCGTATACTGAAACGCCACTTAACGCTATTTAGCTGTCAAACCAACGTGAAACCGATCTGAGTAGCCTTTCTATCTGAGAGTGGTTACGAGGTCTCTTAAATATTTTTAAAGGTAATATTCCAGTGAAAATAAAGTCTCTTTCGTTACTTATCTTTCCTCGCGGATCACGAAAGTCTTCGAAAACTCAATGATTTCATAATATTCAACTAAATTCTCAAATCTGAAATATACGGAATCTTGTGTTATACGGACATTAGAAGCCTTCAACATCAACTTCTTATTTAACTGGTATTACCCAAACAAAATCAAAAAGAAAGCAATGTCAAAAACAATATTTTCAAACAAAATTAAGGAATGTTAATTTGAATTAAATTTCAATTAAATTTCTTAATAATTAAAATAGAATAAAAATTAACAAATATAGATTAGAAAGACAAAAATTAAGATTATAGAAATTTAAATCCCCTTAAAAGTTAAAATGATAATTATTAGTTTCTTACATAATACACATTTGTTTTGTTTTGACAATTGGTGTGACAGCTAAATAGCGTTAAGTGGCGTTTCAGTATACGAAATTTTCACTGAGTAGCGTTTACGTACATCTTAATTTGAGGGTTTAGTGTTTACGAGCTGCTCAAATGTTTAAGGTGCCTTAAAATATTTAAGTAACGTTTCAGTATTCGACCCTGAGACTCGTTTTTACAAAGTACATGATGAAATATTTTTAATTATTGAAGTGAAACTTCTAATGCGACTTCCAACCCAGAAGTAGTGCTGCCATTAAAAAATATTAAATTGACTGACTACGCCCGGTTTCTGAAACACTGGACATCGTAGATGTCAACTAATCAGCTGCCAAATGAATTTCAAATTTCACTTTAGTTGCTGTTGCACTTTAGTCGTAGCTAAAATAGTCGTTACTATATTGGTTTGGAATACAACAAAAATCCTTATACTCACAGTTTAACCCATTCGTTCGGTCAGTAACACTGATACCATTACAGTAATTCGTCGGGTCTCCACCGATATACTCTCTTACTTAGTCACCGCTCACCGGTCAGCGATCGACTATCTCTCTCTCAGTCTCGTTTCGTTCGGTACCGAACCGATGAATTGTGTCGGTAGATGTACCTATGGAAAGAACGAAATAGCTATTAGACCGATTAAGATTTATCATTCGGAAACTTCTTTTAGTACAGTGCAAAGAAACGTTTCCTAATCGTTCATCGTTCTTGAACGACACAAGACTATTGCAGACGAGATATTGGTTCGGATATGGCAATACATGCCCGATATGTCATAGCGAGTCGAATTGATTGTGATTTGTGTTGTGATTGTCTTTGAATTTTTAGTAAACGCACGCACATCGTTAATGATGCATGTTAGTCTGCTGCTTCATTAATTTAGTTTCGACAGTAGTGAGTGGTGTTGTGCATTTTATTTATGTATAATATTATTATAGTATTGGATTTAAATCTTTGTTTTCTCTATGAAGAATATTTGTATTTTTAAAGGTTTTTTTTTTGTTATTAGACTTCTGAAATCGATCTTTTAATGTTTTGCGAGTTAATTATTTTTTAATATTGTACACCAAACAGTTTATCACCATGACTATCACAATGACAAGGAAAGTAAGCGAATGCCATGAAGAAACTGTCCAGTTTATGCCAATAGAGAAAGTGAGTAGTATTTTGGCTCTATACTAAATTCTAATAAATGATTAAAGTAAAGTTTTTGTTCATTATAGTGTTGAATTTGAATTTTTTGTTTAAAGTAAAAATGGTAATGCTGCATGTATAATATGTTAATGTTTTTCAACTATAAATTTTTTAAAAATTTTAATATTATAGACATAATATTATATAATTTATAAATTACTACATTAATATAATATAATGTAATAAAAATATTTGCCCTTGTAATATTTGCCACATTTAGAACAGTTCTCTCTTATGTTACAAGGTAGAAAAAGAATGTACTGCCGACAAAGATTATGGCAGTGGTACTACACTACTCAGACGTGGCAAGAGACTAGAAGATAATAACAATTTAACAAAAGAGGACATTCTGTATATTAACTACAGGCAGCTTCTGAAATATGAAGAGGCTCCAGTATATTTACAGCATAATCCATTTATTAGAGATGGGTATCGCAAATTGTTGCCCACCAGACTTTGCTGGGAGAGGTAAGTTTTGTTCTTAATAAAGGTATGACATTTTTTAGTTATTAATTATACTGAAAAAAAAAATCTTTAAAATTGAAGAGCGGAAAGAAGCGAAAAAGCATAATCCATTATTTTGGGGTCAAAAACGTATTTGAACATTAATGTAACATGCATCCTAATTAGACTACATCAGATAATTTAGCAGCAATCTAATAATTAGAAATGGAATATTATAAATTTAGTATAGTTAATTAAATTTTTATAAATGGTACTTAGAAGATTACAATATCTCATTAGGTACTTTATTAAATTTCTACTCATTTTATGAGGGTACAATATATTGCATGTTTAAAAGCCTAATTCATATTAGGATTTCTCCCATTAAGTGGTGTTAATTTGCTTACAGTTTCTGCGAAAATAGTGAGTAATTTATGTACATGTGTTGATTATGGATATTATCGCATTTATTGGATTTTTAAATTCCCAAGATTTTGAATCCTATCCAGTGTTAATGATCATGGGACAGTTAATAAATATCCAATTAAATGTGATAAAATCCATAAAACGGCTTCATTTTAGTACACATTTTTATAAGTAGATTTACCTAAAAAAGTTGTCCACTTATCTCTTCAAAGAAAAAAGAAATTTTCATGTGACATTAAACACAATAATTTAAAGCTTTACTTTTTGCCCACTTTGTTTTTGTGCAGAGATGGTAATATTTGGCAGATTTATTTTACTACATAGGGAAAAATGGTATGACGCAAAAGAATTATTAATGGAAGTAGAATAGACAGAATTGATTGCATTGTAGTAAGTAGTAGTTATAAGTAGTTATAATGATGAAAATATGTGAATTCAATCATTGATTGGAATTAGACTGTAACATTGCTAGCAGAATTAATTGAGTGCACTGAAGTTAGCTTTGCTCATGTGTATGTATTAAATATTTATTGATTTTTTTAGTATGTATGCTTTTTAGTATTTCAAAATTAACATTTATAGGGTAAATTAAAATATAATTTTGTAATAAATACTATACTTACAACAAATATTTAGTATTTGGCTACTTTTATACTATTCATCATATGGCCAAACGTAACAAAATTCTTACATATTTATTCTTACATATTTATTCTTATATATTTATTTATAAATACATACACTGCATTTTACACATATGTGTGTATAAAATGATATGTATTACAAAGTAATATGTATAAAAAATATTGTAATATGAATTATAATATTTTGGTAGTTACAATTGAAATCATTTATGGAGTTTTAGTAAATACTCTAGAATTTGCAAACTAAAGAATGGCTGATAATAGACTTCAATTATAGATGTTTCCCACCCCCATTTTTATGATATCCGTAAATATTGATGATCAAAATGGAAAATACATTATAGATTAAACTAACCAATAAAATAAACTCATTATTTCATTTAAATAGTTATATTTAGTGAGTTCAATAGTTAGCTCTGACTTCTGGGGCTGCATGATTTTGAAGACGAAAGTAATATTTTTTTTGTAATCAATAGAATGTTGAAACTATCTTATGTTGTAGTGACCTTTTGTGCTTGTGCTGTTCTAAGTGTAGCCAAATATCTCTTCCGTAAACATTGACCTCACTGCAAGGACGACGTGATTTTTATAAATTATAATTTGCTTATGCTAACATAGCTATTTATATTCGCAGTGAATTTGAAATTTTATAAGAATGACTAAATACTACCCGCGTTTCGTAAGGAAGTTTTTCCTCTTGAAATTTATAATAAAAGGTAGGTAATTGTTTACAATAGAGACACGCGCATTTTTCGTAAACGTAGTATATATATTTTTTCTCGATATAGAAACATTACCTCAAACTGTAATTACGAAGTAAAAATAGGCAGAAACGTTTAGATAGTGGTTGGTGTATTTTTATAGATAAAACCCTATAAAAATAAAGATGATAAAAAAAAAAAACATTTAGATGTTGAAAAAAAAAAACGATACGTATTATGGCGCTTTTTTCACATGTATGGTTACTTATAACATGCATTCTACGTGTCTTACTAGCTTACGGCGTGTGATATATGCTATTGCAACACTTGCGAAACATTGTAAACTAGATACAAATTAAGTACTACGATTGTTTAACTGTAACCTATTTAATAGTAAACCCTAGTCTAAGAAGAGATTTTTTTTATGTGAAAAGTTGCCAAACGAGCAGACGGTTCACCTGATGTTAAGTGAATACCGCCGCCCGTGGACATCTGCTACACCCGAGGGTTTGCAGATGCGTTGACAACCTTTTTGGAAATTGGGCTCCGGCTACCTCACTCACCAGACGAAACGCGAATGTATTTGTCATACTTCCACTTTACGCCGGTTTTCTGTGAGGTCGTGGTACTTACCCGGATGAGCCTGCCCATTCGTGCAACAGCCGAGGCTGCTGCGTGGCTCTACCACCGTAACTATTTATAATTACAGTTATAATTTCCTCGCAATAAACGATCTTGTTATAATAAATTTTCAGAGTAAAGCCGCCGAGAAGTAAGAGCTGTTACCATAAATGCTTATATAGGTACATAGGTCACTATGTACCTATACTAATCGTTCATGGTTATGATTACTCAATTAAATTAAGTTATTAAGTCGGTGCTATATTTTAACTGCAAATAGAAGTAGATTATTGGAACAATGTTTAATATCGAAATTCTAGGTTCGACTGTCTTCATCTCCTTATTTTGGTATTAAAGCGACGATACTGTTTAAAATCTTACGGTGGTAGGGCCACGCAGCAGCCTCGGCTGTTGCACGAATGAGCAGGCCCGTCCGGGTAAGTACCACGACCTCACAGAAGACCAGCGTAAAGTGGAAGTATGACAAATACTTTCGCGTTTCGTCTGGTGAGTGAGGTAGCCGGAGCCCAATTTTCAAAAGGTTGTCAACGCATCTGTAACCCTCGAGTGTAGCAGATGTCCATGGGCGGCGGTATTCACTTAACATCAGGTGACCCGTCTGCTCGTTTGGCAACTTTTTCGCATAAAAAAAAAAAAATCATTATTAATCATTAATTTCCAATCAATCGATTTCTTTCAGCATATTCTGGTGGACGAACGAGACCATGAACATATGGACACATATATTCGGTTTCTTCCTACTGCTCTTCCTCACAATAAACGATCTCGTTATCATAAATATACACGCCACATTAACCGACAAGACTGTTGCAGCGATACTCTTCTCGTGTTTCCTGGTAAGTTTTAATTGCTCCAAATTTTATTCATATCACTCTTTCCAAGTGAAACTTTTTTTAATTAACAAAATGCTGTAACAACCAAGGCAACGCGATGCATATTCAATTCCATTTTTAGTATTATCAATTAACTAGCTGACCCGGCAAACGTTGTTTTGCCAAATAAATTATTTGTAGGGTAGAAAAAAATGTTTGGGGTGGACCACCCTTAACATTTAGGGGGATGAAAAACATATGTTGTCCGATTCTCCACATTGGCCGATATGCACACAAAATTTCACGAAAATCGGTCAAGCCGTTTCGGAGGAGTTCGATTACAAACACCGTGAAACGAGAATTTTATATATTAGATTATCTACCTACTACTTAAGATTATATTTGGATATTTTGATAAGTTTTTAATTGTTGTTATTCTTACTTCGACACTGGAGAAATGATATCAAGGCGTTAATCGAAATTATCAATGTAAACATATCATATTGTCCTTATTTTCCTGTTTTGTTTGTATACATTATCTACTTTAAATACAATTTTTACTTCCGGTTTTGTTAATTAAGTACGTAGTTGAATTTAATTACCTTGAATGTCTTGGAATATGTCAAATTTATTCAAAGGCACCAAACTATTATTGTTTAAAGTTAAAGACTGTAATTAAAAAAGTAAAAGACTTTTAAGCGTGAACATCAGATCTAATACGTCTGTGGTTCTTATATAACATTTCCAAGTGGCCTAGCGCGCACTCAGTGTTTGTTAAGACGCGAATTCCTCGTCGCGTAAACAGCTGAGTATGGACATGTGTTTCAACGTCCGAGGTTTGCGTCGTCGTTCATAATTTGCCTGGGGCGTTGCGAAATAATATGAGGCGTGCTGCACTATTGGTGGACGGCTCGAAAGTGCTCGGTTGACTTGACCGGCACCGTTCTCCCGTACCGGTGAAAGTTTGCGATGGTATGAAAAAAAAAAAGAACAAAAAACAAAAATGGCGAGCTATTCTATTTTTGAAAATCTGTTATAGTCTGTGGTTCTTTCTTACGCTTCGGTATTCAGAAGTTAGTAGGACTATTCGCGTACTCTATGACCGTTTTGGATGATTGATTGCAATATAATTAACCTTTTTTTAAATTAATTCATAGTTTTGAAAATGATTCTTCTTTAATACGTTACTTTGTTTTCTTAGTATGAAAGTGGATTCGATGTTTGAATATTTGATTATTCAAAAAATGTTTCGTGTATGCGATATATGTAAAATTTGTCGTAATTCATTTGGTCAACTTAAATGCTGTCGTATTTGTTACTTAACGCTAATGCGTACAAGAGGCAAATGTGCCATGCGCGCTGTGACGCCCGCGTTTTCATAATGAGGCGATTTAAATAATAAGGCGTTATTTTAAAATGCGTTAATCTAATCACAGTGTATAATTATCAATAACATTAATAAGTTTCTCTTTTTAGTAGTTTAAGCAACTTTTTTAAAATTTAGTATTTGTATAATTAAAAATGTAATTATAATTGTCGTTGTCCGCACTTTGTTTATCGAGTGTCGAAGTTGTTGTCAACTTTATCGCGATATATTAGCGGGACGACGTTAAGAGTTTCTATAAATGTAGAGATCATAGACTACCGACCTCAAGAGCACAAATGTCCACAACGACCTTCCAAATGGAATGCCCTCTGCTGATATTTGGTTGCTTCTAAACTCGACACCACCTGGTTGCGATTAGTACTTATTCACTCCATATATTGTGAGAAAATTTTTTCATAAAAATCTAGAAAATTACAATTTATTTTTGGGGACATCCTACTGAAATCATGTTTAATCAATATACATTGGATCGTCTCTCTTTCTATTGGTGATAATCGTATTGATTAGAAAATTTAAAGCCCGAATGATCACCAAGTCATCTCGAACTATGTTATATTACTATTATAAGTAATTATATTTTATCGTTCTTCGTACAAATAAATAATCGTTAGGCATATGTCAGTTTCTTTGTGTTCGTTTAGAATTGAAACACAGATTGCCTTGTCTCACACCATAAAGCCCGGTTTCTGAACCACTGATCATCGTAGAAGTCAACTAATCACCCGTTAAATGGCTTTTATAATTTTATTTGAGTTGCCAAAAGGATTGTACATCCCTCTGAATTGATCAGAATGATCTTAATGATATTCAGAATAATCAATTCAAAGAGTTTCAAACAATCCTTTTGGCAACCCAAATAACATTTGAAAAGCCATTTGACAGCTGATTAGTTAACTTCTACGATGATTAGTGTTTCAGAAACCGGGCGTAAGTCTATCATTATCCCTCTTATATTGTTACTGTCATTATATTGCGCGTCCAACAACTGAGACGCTATACACTTTCTTTGGTGCAAACTTCAGCCAACTTTCACTTATCTCGGACAGTTAAAGCATATTAAGGTGCACGTACAGTGGTTTAATTTTGCACACATCATAAAATGTCAGTTTGTAATAAAAATGACTTTTGTCTGTGGTAGTAGTTCGAAAATCTGTTTTAAAGCGAATTGAACTCCTTCACGTCATTTGGTATGAAAGCTTAATACAAAGAAGACCATTTTTCGCCCGTGAGACAAATAATCTAATTTGTTTATAAAAGTTGGCAAAAAAGCAGGCGGTTTTGATACAACACCCCCGGGTTTACAAGCTATCGTGTCTAAGTAAAACTAATGATTTATTGATCTACAGTTGTTCAACTTATTTTCACTTTTGATGTTTTTGATATTGTAATTTGTAAAAGAACAGGCGGTTTTTCCACAACACCCCCGGGGTTGCAAACTATTGGAGTGTATCTAGTGTATCGCGTCAAAGTAAAACTAGCAATTTATTCAACTACGGTTCAACTTATTTTCACTTTTGATGTTTGTTATATTCTTTTGTTCTGCAAATCTACACGTTATGGCAAATTTTTATTATTATATTCTAGTTTCCGTAATTTATTTAATATTTCATTACTAAAAGAATTAAAACATGTTAATCATAAATAATACCGTAAGCTTTATGTAATGGAAGTACGATTTATATTTGCTTCTTCCATGTTCTCGTTAGCAAAAATATTTATATCAAGCACAAAAAACCGGACTTGAAAAGTTTACAATGAACGTTTTATTTATACAGATAACAATCTTAATGCGCACTTTAAATGCTTTGTTAAAGATGTTCATTGGAAATTAAAATATCAAAGTAAACTTTGTTGTTTATCACGAGGCAAAAGTCAAGAACTGGCCATTTCATAAAAAATAAAATTGTGCGTAATTTCGTCTTTTACATACAAAAGTCGTTCTTAAATCAAACGCTCAAATTTATTTTTCTTTTCCAGGTGTGTATGGCGCTATCGGCACTCTATCACACATTTTCGTGTCGATCAGAGAACGACTATAACACCTTTCTTATGTACGACCTCTTTGGTATTGCGCTGTCGTTGCTCGCAATTTACACTTCCGGCGTCTACTATGCATTTTGGTGCCATCACGTAAGTCGAATGTTTTATCATCTCGAAATTTCGTTTTTGTCCTTAGCACTTCCGGTCAAACGACACTGGTTCTTATGCCATATGGGCCGTTCTTATATTCCAAGGTCCATCGTTGATTAAAATGCTATGCGTACAATAAATTAATGTCACTTCGGCAAAATCATTGATTTTCTTATCTCTTTTAGAAAGTTACATCATGGTTAAATAAAATTATTGTCGTATTTAAATTATCGCATAAGTTTAGACTATATCATAATATATTTACAATTAAATACAAATTCAATATTTCCTAAATTTATACGGTCAACCAGCGTAAAATCGGTAAATATAGCAGGGAAGAAGCATCTTGATTGAATCTTGAATATTCGAATGGCGAAAACATTTACGCCCGGTTTCTGGATCATCGTAGATGTTAATTAATCAGCTGTCAAATGGCTTTACAAATGTCGTTTGAGTTGCCACAACGATGGTTAAACTCTTTGAATTGATCATTCTGATCTTTAAGAAGGTCATTCTGGTCAATTCAGAGAGTTTAACCCATACTTTTGGCTACTAAAATGTAATTTGAAAAGCCATTTGACAGCTGATTAGTTGACATCTACGATGATCAATGTTTCAGACACCGGGCGTTAGATCTACAAAACTCCGTTAAATATAATTAGCGTTTTGGCGACAGAAGTTAACGGTTAAACCGGTACTTTTAGAATCGTTAACCGTTACACAGATTGCGAATTCTTTCCTTCTTCCGAGTGCAGATGTCGCGGTTTATCAAAAAGTAAAAGTTATCGGATGTGTTGTTGTCGGTTCGAGTGAAAGCCTCACTGTTACATGTAATTTTTGACTTCTCATCGTCGAGATATGCACAAATTTGGCGGATAACTATATATATAAATATATAAATTTTAAACGTAAACTTTTTTTAAAACTTAAACTAAATACAAGATATAAATTTGCCGACGTCGATTCAAGTCTTCAAAATTATAGTTTTTACATGTGTTTGTATGTTCCATGGTACAAATATAACAGAACATTGATATGTCAGACGAAATCCACATGGTTCACAACGTAAATCGAGTTATAAAACGACCTCTTAGATTTGTTAGCCTGCATATATTTTGATTGAAATTAAGTGCCATTTACATTTCGGAAAATAAAGTTGAACGCCGTGTCATCATGGCAAAAGACTAATAATTAATCTGTTACGAACGGACCTGTATTATTTTATGAATCTGTTTGAATTTATGGCTGATTTGGAAAATGAATCATAAGCTTAATGTGTTAAGAGTCCATATTTTCTTAACATTCTGTTAACACTGTGTACATATAAACTGTCGCAATTTTCTTTCATAAGAGATGCATTTTATTTTTAGGTATCTGTAAGCAAAGGGTAAAAGGCTTCAGGTGTATTCTAGAATGGTTAGGATTCACAAACTTATTTAAAAAGTTTGAAATTTTCGGATTTTAGACGTGTACAGGACGAAGTCTGTGTATAATTTACACTAGATATTCTGCCCCGGCTTATCAGTAGAAAAATTAAAGATTTATATATAAGAATAAAATAAAAGATTATAGATATGTTTATTTTTATGTAAATGTATACATTTAATAACTGAAACATTTTACGATATTTTTAAATTTGTCTTTTATTTTACGTTGAGCGCAATTTAATTGAGAAAAAGACATAATTTGCAACAAACATCTAGTACGTTTGATTCAGCTTTTTTAAGGATAATTATTTATTAAACTTCAAATTTTTTTTTCACTAATTTACATTTAAAATTAATTGTGCGCGAAGCTAATAAGGTAATAAATATGTTTCTAACACTAATTTCTTATAATAAATAGCACACATTGTTAATAAGAGAATGTAGGAGAGTATTTCCACTGGAATTTCTTTGAAGAAATGGTCGATGGTCTCATTGATTATTTAAAAAACACTGCTCTTACTGAAGGATACCATTACTTAATTTTACAAACATAAAATTTCATTTTGTGTTCACGGAACAATACACATCTTTAAAATAAAATCACTGTTGTAACTTGTTCACTTTAATTAAAATAAACGAGATTAAATCCGTAGTTTTCGTTCAATAGAGACCGTTTTCAACGTTATCACAGAGATTCTAAACAAAGCACAACAGAAAATAATTATCGCGTTAACATTTGTAGCTACTTAAAACACTTCGAAATGGTATTTAGAACGGATACAATTAACAAATAAAATTGATGCAAGTTAATTGAACGTGTAATAAATATTGAAATCATGCGAGCGTACTCAGTGACTTTAAATAGAGCTTGATTATATTTAAATTCAATTACCTCTTAAACATTCTCATTCAGTTCTTTAAAACATAACTTTGCAAATAAATTAATAAGAGTTGGTTAGCTCTCATCACCAAACATCACTTGAAATGAGGTGAACCCTCAACTCGCTTGCAAAATTCGTTAATAAAAAACACAAACGTTCAATAATGATATGGAACTGATTAGTTTATCATTTGTGATGTTTCTCTGATAAAAACTCTTTAGTTAATATTGATGTCGATGGTAAATAGGTTGTTGTTTGCGCAGAAACGAATACGTCAAAAGCATCTTATGTTAAAATTGAGTTACTTTAGCCGCCGAAGATGGTTAGGGTTATTACGAGTTCTTGATTACGGCGAACATAAAAACGGTGGAAATGAATATTTATATAACAAAATACTGCATACCTTTAGCGGTTAGCATATCGAATTAACAATAAAAATAACATGAAAGTATCTGAATTGTTTTTACAATTGTTCGAACAACACAATATCGATCGCTAGCTTCAGTGCTAGGTGCAGAGGAAGTGTTAAGTAATGACATAAATTAATATAGGTTGTCTGCAGATGATCGTAGGTTCGATCCTCCACCGGTCTGCTTGTTCAATATAATCTCGATTTGTCTGTTTATTTTATAATTGAGTGTTATTGAGATTATAAGAAAACATTAATTATCGATGAATGTTACATGAAATTAATTAGTTTTATTGAATTAAGTGATAATTCAATAATAGTATACGTACAATTATATAATATAAATAATAACATAATACTTTACTATACATCAAAAAAGAAAAAGTATAAAAACCAAATATTTATCAATCATTGCCCAAAGACCTTATTGCTACACAGCAATTTCTTCCAAGGCAACAAAAACCAAAAGGAATTGCTAATGGGTAGGATGTACATGAAAATGAGGCACATGTATTAACTTCACTTAATAGTATAAAACAAAGTCTTCCCGCTGTCTGTCTGTCCCTATGTATGCTTAGATCTTTAAAACTCCGCAACGGATCTTGATGCGGTTTTTTTACTAGATAGAGTGCGAAGCATTGTGAAAACATTGCGAAGCTGTTCGCTAGTAAATAATAAAGTAGGTGATATTCAAAAACGACTAAGTGTAAACAATTTTAAAATTTTTGTAATAGCAACCCTAATGAAATAGGCCTATTATACTGACGAAGAATACAGTGAGGACAAGAATGTTTGGAAATGACTTGCTTTGCACCTGCAGCTTACAGCGACACGCCCCGACTTCGCACGGGTGCAATGTATTATACATATAAGCCTTCCTCTTGAATCACTCTATCTAGTGAAAAAACCGTATCAAGATCAGTTGCGTAGTTTTAAAGATTAAGGCATACATAGGGACAGACTTCAGGAAGACTTTGTTTTATACTATGTAGTGATTTTCTATATTTATATAATTAAAAAAAGAACGATAACAAGAACGCAGATTTTCTTGCCGTTCTTTGGACAGGTCTATTTTAGTGAACCGGTAGTAGTTTTTTGACGTTCAATAAGAGCTTAAAATAAGGCTACATTGAATAAATAATTTTAGACTTTGTTTATGAATTCAGATAATAATTCAAATGAATCAACAATAGTTGTAACTGAATTAACACAGTAGTCCTATTAGCGATTCCCGAAGACTATGCTGTTGCAATGTTAGCAACGTTTGCGCCACGCCAATGACCTTCTGGAAGCACCTGCGAAGTCAATACAAATTGATTCAGTTCCCCGATAAATATTCCGTCGGCACGTGTGCCTACTTGATCCGCTACGGGGCAAGGTCGATACGATCCTTTTTAACCGACTCCAAAAAGAAGGCGGCTATTGACGTAGCAGTCGTTTTTCACGTAGCGGTCCTTTTTGACGCATGTAGAAAAAACACAGCAAAAAAATTGAAAGAATGGAAAGGACAGATTGAAAGAATATTAAACAAGTGCATTTTTATTTAAAAAAAAAAAAACAAAACTGACTTTATTTTTATTTTTTTAGAACAGTGTTGGCATATATTGAAAAGATATCCAGAAATGTACTCTGACATATTATATCTCAGATAAAATTTACAGATGTTTATTTACAAACAGATAGCAACAAAGGGTATGGTATATTTATTGATATATATTTACACTTATCTTTAAGCTTTGCATACCAGTAAAAAAAGTTAAAATTACATATAAAATAAAACCAGAATTGGAAGACCAAAGGAATAGTGGTAGCAAGTAAAAACACAAAAGATTTTTATATTTACAAACAAGACAAAATCAAACAAAAAAGGCTCTAAAAAAAACATATATAAAAATGTACAAAAATTGGTGACTAGACAAGCGAAACGTAATCATAATATTAACTATATTAATAAATGTACTAATAAAAATAAAGCTACATGGCACATTATAAAACAAAACACGACTAAAACCAATATCATTAAAGAAACAATGGAAACAATAATAAAGGATAAAGTAATTATTGACAAACCTTCTGAAATAGCTAAAATTGTTAATGACTATTTTATAAACCTTAACAATGCTATAGATGACATTTCGTATAAACCAATGACCCAACCAAATCTGAATAGCATTTTTATTGCACCGGTCAATATTTATGAAATAAAAAGTGTTGTTAAAGGAATAAGCAATAGAAAAAGTATTGGCCACGACAACATACCCATACAAATAATAAAATCAAGCATTGATTATATAGCCGAACCCCTTGCCCATATAATAAATTTAACACTGGAAACAGGGATCTTTCCTGATGACTTAAATAAGACACAAATAAAGCCAATACACAAAAAAGGCTCTAAATATGAAATCAGTAATTATAGACCTATTGCGTTATTACCTAATTTTGCTAAAATATTTGAAAAAGTTATTTTAAAAAGGTTTATGTCATTTTTAAATGCAAATAATGTACTATCGAAAAATCAGTTCGGTTGTCAAAAATCGAAAAACACAACTTCGGCAATATTTAAAATATTACAGCAAATATGGAAAGATATTGATAAGAAAAAAACATCTATTGGACTATTTTTAGACCTGTCCAAAGCATTCGACTGTGTTGTACACAACATTTTATTTAACCAACTAGAACATATTGGAATCCGTGGAAATGCGTTAAAACTAATTGAATCCTATCTTACAAACAGACTTCAAACTACAGTCTTAGACACAAATGATAAAGCGTCAAAAATGATTGTAAAAGTTCAATCAAGCTTCGAGAAAATAAAACTGGGTATTCCTCAAGGTAGTGTATTGGGACCATTATTGTTCTTGATATATATTAATGAATTTCCTTTAATTATTAACCATCTATGTGTAATGTTTGCTGACGATGCTACGATATTTATATCCAAAGACAATCTGAATGACTCTGAATTTATTAATGAAATTTATAACACTCTTAAAACTGTAGTTGACTGGTTGACATGTATTAATTTAAAAGTTAACTTAAGTAAGACAAAAATTATACAATTTACTAACTATAAACAACTACCGCAAGACGTAAACATTATTATTGACAATAACAGAATTGAGCAAGTCAATCAAATAAATTTTCTAGGTGTTAACATTGATAGGCACTTAAACTGGAAGTCTCACGTCGAAAAAATTAATAAAACAATTACTAGTGGATATTATGCTATCTCTGTTATGAGGAATGTAAGCTCTGCAGATGTTGCTAAAAATACTTATTATGGATATGTTTACCCACTATTGACATACGGTATTATATTTTGGGGAAACTCAGTAAATGTAAATTCCACATTCTTGTTACAAAAGAAATGTATAAGGGCAATATACAATGTAAGTGGTAAGGACTCTGTAAGGCCTATATTTATCAATAATAAGATCTTAACCCTGACATGTATTTACATACTAGAAATCTGTTTATTTATCAAAAATCATTCTGAATACTCTATTAAGAAAAGAGACATAAAACAAAATCTTCGATCGCAATATAAATATGACATTTGTACTGTGCCTTGCTCGAGTTTTATATATCAAAAAAGCTCCTACATTACTGGTATTAAGATTTATAATTATTTACCCGAATCAATAAGATCACTTCATGGTGTACAGTTTAAAAGAAAACTAAAAGAATGGCTGATATGTAATTGTTTTTATAATTTAAATGAATATTATTGTAGAACAGAATAATACTTTAATTATATTATTAACATTTCTCTTATTGTACGCCCGAAATGGGCAAACTGTTGACACAAAAAATAATGTAATATGTAACACCTATTGTACACAGTTAAGACAATAAATGATTATCTTATCTTATCTTTAAATATCTTGTACATTTTCTATATGATTTTAAGAATTTTCCTCATCGAAGTCCGGAGTTAGATGAGTGGTTTAATGAAATTAATATTTGCAAAAGAAGAAATTTTAAATCTGTTCTTGAGAGAGTTCTCAGGTAATAAACAGTTAAAAATACGACCGTATCGAGCATCGGAGCACCTCAGTTTTTGAACATCAAACAATCAAATAGTAGCAATAGAATCGTGATGAGGTGTGACCATTTAAGACGAAATGGATATAATGTACGTTGTATTTTCAAGAGATTTTCTACCCGCGATAGCCTCGTGCAAGAACAACGCATTAGAAATGTAAAATGTGCTGTTTCATTGTGACGCGGAGGTACTGTGACGTTTAAATAATTACCCCTCATTACTTTGGGTTGTCTTTATATCGAAAATTTCGACTCTATGAGCCCGTTTCAAAACCTCTGCGAAATTAGTCACGACTTGTGAACACGCCACGGACATTTGCTTGATTATAAAAAGGTTTTTTCTCACCATACATTGAGTTTTTTGGCGAATTCGTAATACGTTTCTTGTGTGGCGATGGTCGAAAATATGCATTTTATTTGTGTTATGACTCTCAACGAAGTCGATGCTGAATATTTATTATATTCTGTATTTCTTATGAATTTTGTTACTTCCGTTACTTCGTGAAAATATGCTGCGATATATAAGGTTCATTGCACTCAATAACTTACTAACAAAATTCATCTCTAGATTAGTTTTTACTGCGTTTGTTATCGTAGAACTTAGAAGATCTAGCATGGCAGCTGATCAGGTATCCTTAATTTAAAATTATTTCGTTTCACTATAGCACTCTGGCTTAGAGTACCTCTGCTACAACTTCGTGAAAGTCCCGCGTAAACCTTATAATTATTACCTAATAATTATAAAAAAATGTAGGTATTTAGGAATGACTACCGCATTGTCAACACATTCTGTTTTTTAGGGAATAGAATGGCATTTTTTTTTTTTCGGAAAAAAAATCTTTGCTTTTTATTTCAATAAAAGATTATACTACCGAGTCTGAACCTCTTGTGTAAATTTGGGCCCTTCTCAAAAAATCTCCCTGTCCGTCATATATTGCAAAGCGGAACAATTTTCAAACGCCGCACAATCCGGACAGGCGTCATCTATGATATAATGAACTGTGGTAGGGCCACGCAAAAGCCTCGGCTGTTGCACGAATGGGCAGGCTCGTCCAGGTAACCACGACCTCACAGAAGACCGGCGTAAAGTGGAAGTATAACAAATACTATCGCGTTTCGTCCGGTGAGTGGGGTAGCCGGAGCCGAAACTTCAAAAGGTTGTCAACGCGTCTGTAACTCTCGGGTGTAGCAGATGTCCATGGGCGGCGGTATTCACTTAACATTAGGGGAACTGCCTGCTCGCTTGGCAACATTTCAAATAAAAAAAATCCATAATTTATATTTCACTTACACGAGTTTGAGACATTCAGTGAACAACACCCGAAACGAGTGTACCTTTTTTACAATACTGACACTACATCCATGTTAAAAGGTAAATTTCGTCTACGTCGTATTTCGCAGGAGTTGAAGACGTTCTACATGCTGACGGTGACGGTGATATTCTGCGTGGCGATGGCCCTCCAAGTTCCACGCTTCAACGTGCCCTATGCGGTCAAGATGTGTGTGTTCATTGGCTGGGCGGCCTACGGCGTGCTGCCTACTTTGCACTGGACCTACGTCATGGGGGGCTTCGACAATCCCATGGTCCAGGTAAGATTGTCTAAAGACCCAATATCGCCATATAGCTGTTTTTCAGTTTCTGCGAAGACTATGGTCTCATAAATGGCCGGCAAGTAATTTATTTATACAATGCGTTTCGTCTAGTGAGGTATCCGGAGGGAGAGATGTCGAAAAAATATCGATGCATCGATATTTTCAGAGATATGATATGTATTTGGATCCGATATATCGATACATCGATACAAAATATTCAATATCGAAAATCGTATCAAAAATTGTCTTTTTTCAAATTCGAATCTGGCACAGAATCCGTATAAAAAAAAATTTGTCGAAAAAAAATAATAATTGTGAATCTAAATCATTCTCGAATCGACCTGAAGACACACAAAAAATTTCATTCAAATCTGTCCAGCCGTTTAGGAGGAGTTCAGTGACATGCACACGTACAGAAGAATTACATATATAAAGATATGTTTGTGCATTATATTTGAGACTACTTAACACAATCCTCACGGACTCTAACCACTTTATTATCCCTTTGTAGGATTTACTTATAGAACGCGACCCAAGGGTCATTTCATACTTAAGTGTGAGTGTGTTACGTTCGCTATGGCAGCTACAGTAGTTGTCACTCAAATAATACGGGTGCCTCTCCCCGTATATAATACATCTGATCCCAATTAAGTTCTAAATAGCCTTAGACACTCGCACGAAAATTCCTTCAGGAGATGACGGCAGCACAGACGAAATGAAATTATTATCAATAATTTTATAATGTTTATTACTTTGTTTACCTAAACCATTAGAGTTGGCGTGCACTATGTGTTCTAGGCTGTTCAAAAATAACAATATGGACGATTTTCGTCTTGTTTCATTTCGTTCATGAGTTTCAAATTTTGTTTTTCTAATTCGGTTGTTGAACAATTCCTGAGCATTTATTTGGGTACACTTTTTTATCCTATAAGTAATGTATACTATAAATAAGGCCATTTATACTTGTACCCGTAATTTTTTTGGCACTTTAATGGCACTCGTCGTTGGAAAACAGCAATAAATAAAGACTGAAGCTAATATACTGCCTTGTATGAGAATAGATTAGAAATGCAGAAGCAAATTGAAGGTCGATGAACTGTCAAAACTGCACGGCTCTTACACAGATGCTATCTTAGGAATTTACTTCCTAAATTTAGGAAGAAAAAATTTACAATGGAGGTTTTTATGGAGGTAAATTCAATCCAAAACATTTATTAAATGTTTCTCATTTTGAAAGGTTTGGTTTGAATTTAGTGAATTTTAGTGGGTTTTATGATCAGTTGGTAACACTGGGCTCTTAGATTTAGCTGCATGCTTATTCGTTAGTTACTAAATTTTACTATTTTATATTAAATTTAGGAATAATAATAGTACTTTTTATTGGTTTCGTTTAATAATTTATGCCTGTTTCTCCTTCAGATGTTCTTCCCCAGAGTGATTGGAATGTACGTGATAAGTGGAACCGCTTTCGTCATTTACGCCTTCAAGGTAAAAATAATGTCATCTATTATCTGTTGTATTTTTGATAATAATTGGCTTTGGTTTGAACATCGACATGAAACATCTTATTATTAGTCATTGTCGTAAAATTTTAAAGTAAAGAGAAAAAAAAATCATATGGAAATATATGTTGCTCAAACGTCCACGGGCGCTACTGAAAACGTTATACGGAAGAGGTTACAACATGCACTTTCCTCCTTTTCCGATGGCAGCGTAGTACCCAGTGTAAAACATTTGTTTTCTATATCACGTTCTGTATTATAACCAACTGCCGGGGATGGTAAACGCGATGTTAGTACTATCCAATGCTTCTTTAACCCCTCAGTCGAGCCTAAATTCTTTGGTAGTAGTTTTACTTCAATACCTTGTGAAATCCATAATAACAGTCTCATAGTATAAGCAATTATTGTATTGTCTCCTATAAAACCATTCGCTCTCCCATCAGTATAAATTCGCAAAACTCATAAAAACTGCCGCACAGTGGAAAAGTTTTTTCTCAGGCAAAAAATTTGTAAAACCCGCAAAATTCGTAAAACTCGTAAATCTCGTAATACTCGTAAATACTCTTAAAACCATAATGTGTGTTGTTGTCTTGTCCATTATACTTATGTGGGGGCAGAACGGCGTAAAATCATGTGAATGACTTCATGTTCAGGTACCAGAGCGCTGGTTCCCCGGCAAGGTGGACTACATCGGGCACTCGCACCAATGGTGGCACATACTGGTACTCGGCGCCCTCTACTACTGGCATAACTCCGCGATGATCTACGTGCAGTATCGAATGAACCACGGCTGCGCCAACACGATGCGGATATTCTAACTTTGGTGCCGCCAGCGTCGACACCAACCGTGCACCGACACTTCATTGGCACCAACTCCATTAGTATCGCCAGCGCTGGAATGCAAAGTATCCGCGTAGACACATTAGTATTATCAACCGAGTAACACTCCAGTAGGCCGTCAATAAGTGTCATTAGTGCCGAAACCTTAGATGCCAAGTATCGGCGCAAACATGGTATCAATACCAACCGTATACATGATGCTGATATTGGTATTGATTAGAGCCGGTATTTGTAGCCTTTAGCATAACACTAATTATATTGTCAGTGTTAAAAGTTTTTTTTATGTTAATCTTTTTTAATATTGCGAAATCGGTCAGTGGTGCACTAATGTTAAAGTTAAAAAAGGTATCATTAGTGTTGGCAAGAATAATTGATTATTTGCTTCAAAAGCATATCAGGAGATGTCCTATCGGATCGCTAAAAGACAATAAAATGTTTTTGAGCAAATAATTTATTCGAGATCTGAACCCAGGTTAAACCTGGTCACCTGATCGTGTATAGAAAAATTAAATAAATTTATTTAAAGTAGTTGTTAATGTCAAATAACAAATTTATGTACATTAATATATAAAACATTCTTTGATAATGTGAAGATTCATTTTAAATAGATATTTAAAACAATATTTGCACTCTCCGGCTACTTTTACATACAATAGCCAAGTTGCCGATACATTCCTGAATCTCACAAAAAAAAATATCTCTTAAGAATTAATGAATGTGGATATTACAATAATTGTCATCATAGACTAGAAGTCAATTATATTAATTGCGTATTCTGGTACGTTTTTAAAATTTTAAATTATTCAATGATATACATTTACACTTATGAAGTACAAATATGAATTAAATCAAAGGATACTATTTGTAATATCTAACAATTTTTAAAAAAATAATAAATGTATGATACAATATCATTTTGCAGAAGTAAATGTATTACTGTTTGTCTGTTTAATTATTTTAGTACATTAAATGTTTTATAATTTTTTTTTACAGATATTTCTAATTTTAAAGTTGTGATATAAGTATAGATTTAAATAATTATATGCCTTATTTTATCGTTAAAGCGTTCCAAACGCGAATAATGTCGTTACTATTAAAGCTCAATTTTTATGGTCATGACATGCTCAATGAACTGGCTTTTATTAGTTATTTATATTTATTTTATAATTATTTTCATTTTTGATTATTACCAGAAGTTCGTTTACCACGGATAAGTTGTTATTTTTGTATTTTTCTTTTAATTATCTTCTGGCAGTCTAAACATTCCTCTTTACTTCGTGGAAAATGAAAACCGTCCTATTTTTAAGCACTTCGTAGTATCGTCTGTGATTACCGATTTCTTTCCAAATTTCATATGTTGATTTTTTTATCTGTGTTAAGCGGTGGCGTTTAGATTTACAAAACGAAAGGAATAAAATATTTTGGTATTATTATTGCTTTTTATTAATAACTAAAAAATAAAGCTTTTTTGTAATATCGTATTCAGTAAATCAAAAAATAATCGTCATTCAAGGTTAGTCCAATCTTCTTGCTGTTCTTTGTTTTTTAATTATCATAAATTGTTTGTTCTAAATTATTTGTCATGATAATTCTCTAATTAATTACAAATGTTTTTTCAAACTTAATTGTGAGTCAATGGTATTTAAAGGGCCTAAAACTGTCCAAAGCCCAAAAAGTGTTCAGTTTAATCATTTCTTAGTATTCCAGGAATACTATACTTAGTATAGTGTATATAGTATACTATATATTTAGGCACAGTAAAATAAATTTTTAATTACTGCATATTACATAAAATATGCATCTGGGCACCATGAGTTACATAAATTATCAAATCAAAAAGATTGTCCATTAACACAAAAAAGTACTTTTAGGATTGGCGTGATGACCAACGAATTTAATTAAAGAATAAATAAACAAACTAAAGAAGTTCGAGTGCTACCAAACATTTAGGTTTTTTAATTCTTTACCTATAAACAAAGGACGGACAATAATAACAAACGATTTATGAAAATTAAAATCCAAAAAGCTGCAGAAAAAAATTTAAAGACTGCCAAATAGCTATCACTTTTAAACTAATTTAAAATACAAATACATTACTTGAGTTGCGTTATAATTAATACAATACTTGTAAATTAAAATAAACTTAGAACATTTTACATTTCTTTTATTAATACGTAATGATGTTGCGCCGATAACAGCGCCATCTGTTATGGGATAGGAATATTAGTTGCGCTACTAGCAAACAGATGTCACCATAAACCAGTTTAGTAAAAATCACTAATTGTTCAGTATTCAAGGTCTAACGGACAAATTGAAATCAAAGTAAAACAAATTCTTATTCAATTGAGACTTGTTTAACTATTATGAACGTCAGAATGTACCATCGGGTCTCTAATTATAAAACAACAACCAAGAAAGAATCGATTATAAACTATGGTTTTATCAAACATAAACTTCTCTTTTAACTTATCAAGGTTTGTCGTGATACGTTTTTTGACAGAAATAACTTTACTTTATCAGCCATTAGTGTCCCACTGTTGGGCAAAGGCTTCCTTCGATTTGTTCCACTCCTTCCTGTCGTGGGCTATACCGGACCAATCCCTCACAAATGCGTCCAGTTCGTCGCGCCATCAGAAATGACTATTTTTAAGAATTTATTGTGAGAAGGTGGCAAGCGAGCTGAGATGGCCTTAGCTACCTCACTCACCAGACGAAACGCATAAGTATACCAATTCTACTTCACGCCGGTCTTCTGTTAGGTCTCGGTACTTTCCCGGACGGACCTGCCATTCGGGCAACAGTAAACTGTTGCGTAGCCCTACCACTGTGAAATATGATGTACGGCATCAAAATAAGAATAGTAAAAAAATATGTAAAAAAAATCATTTTGAATTTAGTACGCGATAAACAAGAATCTTTATTAGAAGAAAGCATTTTTAAATATAAGAGAAATAAATTTTAATGTTGACTCCGTGGCGCAGTTGCAAAGGTATTGCATTGGCTGGGGCGTCGGGGGTTGTGGGTTCGATTCCCACATGGAACAACTATTTGTGTTATAATTGTTTCGGATTTCGTTCACGTGAAATTTATGTTTTTAAAACGTCATTAAAACAGGATAATGTTATCGTATAGTAAGAGCTACGTTTAAAAAAAAACAATTAAGAAAAATAAGGAATGTTCAAACGAGCGAGCGGTTCCCGTGATGTTTTCTTCATAATCCTAATTAGCATGTTGCCAATCTCTAAGGCTCCGCTTTTCTTACAAAAGGGAAGAAATGCAAAAAGATAAATAATTTTAGCCACCCCTGCAAGACTGTGGTTGTTCGATAAAATTTAGACTTGAAAACTTTATTACAGTTGTTGCTGCCTGCTTTTTACGAAACAAGAGGACTTGCAGTTTTACGAACAAACCGTAAAATATAAATGATTAGGTATATTTTGCTAGTTACGCCACCTACCACAATAGTAAAAGGCTCAGCGGGACTCTACTTCCTTTGAACTTTGCGAAGATGTTTTGATGTTGTTCAACTATTGCTTCTTAAATACGTTGTAAGACATTTTTTTTATGTGAAAAGTTGCCAAACGAGCAGACGGTTCACCTGATGTTAAATGAATACTGTCGCGCATGGACATCTGCTACACCCGAGGGTTGCAGATGCGTTGACAACCTTTTAAAAATTGGGCTTCGGCCACCTCACTCACCAGACGAAACGCGAAAGTATTATACTTCCACTTTACGCCGGTCTTCTGTGAGGTCGTGGTACTTACCCGGACGAGCCTGCCCATTCGTGCAACAGCCGAGGCTGTTGCGTGGCCCTACCACCGTAGGTGATTACCTAAATCTGTAAACAATGATGTGTAAAATAAATCTATTGACTTAATCTGTAAGCAACGTATTTAAACTGTTAAAAGTTCTAAGCGGTCGTCAAAGAAATAAGTTATTTTCATGTGAAAAGTTGGCAAACAAGCGAGCCGTTCACTTGATTTTAAATGATTACTGCCATGGACATGTATAATAGTTAAAGTGTCGCAGACGTCTTGCCATCATGTAAAAGTGAAGCCAGTGAAGCCTAGTAACCTCGCTTACCAAATGAAACGTATCTAAATTCTTACACTTCAACTTCACGCCATGCCAGTGTAACGACCTATTAATAATAATAAATATTATTATTAATTAGTAATAATAAAGATCAATTAAGATGAAAATAAAACGTTTAAGAACGTTTAATCACAATAAAAGTTAATAATATATACTTAAATTAAAGAAATTTAAGTTTTAGTATGAGAAAATGATATTACCAAAAATTGATTAAAAATAGTTAAAAATCACTTAAAATACTCAAAAAGGATATTTATTAAAAATATAGCAAGATACGATCACTATTTTGTCCATTAAATACAATTCCATACTTAGTGATTTCTAAGGGAAGTATTATATACCGTGCGGGGACACATTTGTATGACCGCACATATGTAAGTACAGAGGTCGATCGCGACTCTTAGTACTATATTGAAAGTACATTGTATGAACGTCCCATACCAATATCATATGGAAGTAAGGTCTAATGGATAAAAGTAATAATATGTGAAGGCTCAGAGAAAAAATAATAAATATATAAATATAATGAAGAGCAATGAATGACTTTGGGACTTTATAAGACATATTACTATGGAGTTGCGTGGTACTTCTGTACGACGATATGGTCTACGGTAAACGTGGAACCATGAATGGATATGTCTTCAGTGGTGGACATATCATCGATAGCTGGTGGTAGTTGGCGTCTTAGTGACCATCACTATGATACGTTGGCTGTCATTCGGCATAGTAAGAGTTTTGGTGGTAGTTGGCGTCTTAGTGTGTTGCATTATGATACGTCGACTGATCATCTGACTTTGGGGAGTCTGGTGGTGGCTTGCGTCTTAGTGTATTCCACTATGATACGTTGGCTATTGCTTGACTGGGGTGGGGGTCCGTT